CTAGGGAAACCATTTGAAAATTTGTTAATTGATTGTGTAGGACCATTGCCTTCATCTAAGTCAGGGAGTGTTTACCTGCTGACGGTAATGTGTCAGTCTACCCGGTATCCCGCTGCCTATGCGTTGCGTACAATCACAACTAGGTCGGTGGTGAAAGCCCTTTCACAGTTTATTTCCATCTTTGGTATCCCTCACACTATACAGAGTGATAGAGGCTCTAACTTTACGTCACGCATGTTCAGAGAGGTGCTCGAGCAGTTGCGTGTGAAACATCAGCGTAGTAGTGCCTATCACGCCCAGAGCCAAGGTGCTCTGGAGCGTTCGAGCTTAACAGAGACTGGGAAGAGGGACTCCCATGGTTGATGTTGGCGGCACGAGAGGTAACCCAGGAGAGCACGGGTTTCTCGCCTAATGATCTGGTCTTTGGACATAGAGTTCGGGGGCCTTTAGCGGTCTTACAGGGGGAGCTGAAATGTCCTGAGTCTCCTGTTAATTTGTTGGACTACGTAAATGGTTTTCGTCGTAGGTTGTTTTTAGCCTGTGAGATGGCGACAGACAAACTTACAAAAACCCAACAGAAAATGAAGAGTTGGTATGACCGTCGAGCTGAGCCAAGGGTGTTCAGTCCTGGGGATCAGGTATTCGCATTATTACCGATAGCAACTTCTCCGTTCCTTGCAAAATATACAGGTCCTTATAAGATTGTTCGAAAAGTGTCAGACCTCAATTATTTACTTTCTACACCCAATCGTAGGCGTTCCACTCAGCTCTGTCACATAAATCTGTTGAAGTCCTACTACAACAGGTTTCCAGTCTCTGTGGCAGCAGAGTCTAGTGACCTGGTTATTCCAGTTTCTTTAGCCGCAGTTGTCGTGGCTCCTAGGGCCATTGAGACTCCCTACATGGGGGCAGAAAGTAGTGGTGAAGATGTGGTAGGACCTGATGACTGTGTGCTGAAACCTCGTCTGAGGAACTCTGAGAAACTGGCAGAGTTAAATACATTGTTTGGACATTTGCCAGGGGAGCGTGCATCAGAACTGTCGTCTTTGTTGTCTGATTTTTCTTCTCTATTTTCAGATACACCATCATGTACTCATTTAATTGAGCATGATATTGATGTTGGTGATGCAGAACCAATAAGACAGCGGTTCTATCGGGTGTCACAAGACAAACAGCGACACCTAGAGGCAGAGGTGAAGTACCTGTTGGAAAATGGTTTGGCTAAGCCTTCCTATTCAAGTTGGTCTTCACCCTGTATATTGGTCAGTAAACCTGATGGGACTAATAGATTCTGTACCGATTATCGTAAATTGAATAACATCACAAAATCAGATTCTTTTCCACTCCCAAGGGTTGAAGATTGTGTTGATCGGGTAGGATCAGCAAAGTTTGTGAGTAAATTTGACCTATTGAAAGGATATTATCAAGTCCCATTGTCATCTCGAGCTCAGGAAGTTTCAGCCTTTATAACACCATCTGGGTTATATTCCTATTCGGTTATGAGTTTCGGGTTACGAAATGCTCCAGCCACATTTCAACGACTTATGAACCGTGTTGTTTCTGGGTTGCAGGGATGCGCTGTGTACCTCGATGATGTGGTTGTGTATAGCGAGGAGTGGTCTGAACATCTGGACCGTATTCGGGCTCTCTTTTCTAGGCTTGTTGATGCTCGCCTCACTGTAAATCTAGCCAAGTGTGAGTTTGCCCAGGCTACAGTTGCATACTTGGGGAAGATCGTAGGGCAGGGGCAAGTGAAGCCGGTCCATGCTAAGGTGGTGGCTATTGATAAGTTTCCTGTCCCTACCAACAAAACAGAGTTGCGGCGGTTTTTGGGCATGGTAGGGTATTACCGCAGCTTTTGTTCAAACTTTTCTACAGTAGTAGCCCCTTTGACTAATCTGTTAAAAGATAAAGTGAAGTTTGAATGGACTGTGACCTCTCAAACTGCTTTTGATAATGTCAAGTTGTTGATGACTTCTGCCCCAGTTTTGATGGCACCCCATTTTGATCAGCCTTTCCAGATGCAGGTTGACGCAAGCCATGTGGGGGCTGGTGCGGTGCTCCTGCAGAGTGATGAGCAGGGGGTGGATAGGCCAACATGTTACTTCTCAAGAAAGTTTAATTGTCATCAGTTGAATTATTCGACTATTGAGAAGGAAACATTGGCGTTAATCTGGGGTCTACAGCAGTTTGATGTGTATCTAGCTGGGGGCGCTGTTCCTATCACTGTCTACTCGGATCACAATCCACTGACATTCCTCCACACTTTAAAGAGTCCTAGTCAGCGCCTTATGCGTTGGGCTTTATTTTTGCAGCCATACAATTTGCACATACGGCACATTCGGGGCGTGGACAATGTCATGGCTGACGCTTTGTCCCGTGCTCCGGGTGGGCTGGAGTGAATGCTTTGCCTTGGCCTCTATCTCTCTCTCTTCCTGTTTCTCCACTCTTCTTCCGCTTAATCTCCTTAAATGTAGCTTTCCAGGTACCGGGATTTGCGGGAGCTCTTGGTATGCGGGAGGGTGATTGGAGCTGCTGGAGAGTAGAGTGGTTTTTGGCCTGTGGACAAAAGGGTTCCTGTGTCCAGTCCATGTGATTGGGCTGTCAACATACCGAAACGAAAGTTAAGTGCTCATTTTGAGTTTATAGAAATCATTAAAAAAAAAATTAAGAATGTTTTGTTATTTTGTTGTGTGGGGTTTCGAACATTTTTTTTTGCAGAGGCCTTTAGGGGCCTCTATCTTAAGGGAGGGGGTGTTACGGACCTGCCGGCTCCTCCTCCTCGTTTTGTCTATTTGCATCTCCCCTACAGGTGAGCGGAGCACAGGTGTGACGGGTTTCCTATGATTCCTTCCAGGAACACCTGGGATGGCTTTATGTATCCTGAGGGGTTTAAAAGCTGGGGAGACCTGGTGGAAGGAGGGCTGCCGCTTCTCCTTCTCTCCCGCACCGTTTTGCTGATTTTGTTTCCTTTTACATGACTTTTCATATACCCTGATTGCATACGCTTTCAGTTCTCCTGACTAACACTTATACTGACTTCATTTACTTTACGTTGCTCATTCGTTGTCCTTAATAAACGGTATTTTCTTTCAATCAACTCATCCGCGTGGTCTTCCCTCTCTGTTGCATGGCCAGGCACAGGCAGAACGTAACACAGTGAACTCTCAAAATCCCTCCTATCTTCCCCTTCGGTCAACGGTCACAATTGTCAATTGCCCCTGTCTTCCCATTTGGTCAAGGGTCACATTTATGCGTTTTCAGATAGTTAGTCTGAACACAATCGTAAATGCGCACATTGCCCCTGTCTTCCCCAGTAAAAAGTTGGATGCTGATGAACCGGAAATACTGTATAAATTACTCTGTGTATAATTTTATACACATTTTTCAAAATAACCGGATAAAAAGACAAGTTATCATCATTAGAAGCCAAATCAAATAACCGAAATTTGGATTTTCTAAGAGAGAAAAAATAATTTAAAAAAAAATCCCAAAGTACTAAATACCCGTTTTTGTAATCTGTTATCACCCGTTATAATTCAGATAAACCCCGTTTGAAAATCAGAATATCAACTTCTTACCCGATTCGTGTGAAAATCTTCCTCATCGGATCGTGTTGAAGCCAATCAGGTCTCTTTAGTCGCCGGTCCCCTCTCTCTGAGTGTGATGAGGTATAGGGCAGAATCTGTCACACTCACCTGCCAGCTCGATCTTCCACACATGCCCCGCATCCACAATCAGTCACTCTCCTGCCTTCCACACCTGCTTCGCATTCACAATCAGCCCCGCTACATAAGCACTGCACACCCAGCCTGTCATTGCCAGATTGTTCTTCGCGTCATGCAAGTCTCTCCAGCACTCTACCTTGGACTGATCTCCCGGTTTCGACCCTGCCTGTTCCCGACCCGTTCGTCTGTCTCCGCCCCGGTGAGCACCTCAGCCTTCTGTCCCCGACCACGAGTCCTGCCTGAGCGCCTCGGGTTTCTGTTGCCTGCTCCTTGGACTGCCCGGCGCTTCTGCCCCTGTGCTCCGGATCCCCGACCGGCCCAGCGATCGCACCAGCTGTCTCCCGGCATCTCCTCCCCGATCCTGAGGACCGCACTCTGCTCTGCCTCTCATTGTGCCCGAACGCCTGCTGTGAGGCCGTGTTCAATAAAAGCGTTAACCAAACACTCCGTGCCGTTGTGCTGCATTTGGCTCCGCCACACGCCCGTGTCAGAATCACGTTTGGAGGATCCTGAAGGGGTCCCTTCCCGGACGTCCTCGGAGTCCCGACGGAGCTTCAAACGATCCCACTTCTGACACCAAATTGTGGTGGAAGATTTTGCACAGACAATCGTTAAGTAAGAAACAAAGGCTCTGAGTCAAGAATGTCTTTTCTGTTTATTTCCTTCTAAGGGAAAAAGGGTCACAACAGCTACGTGGTCAGTAGACTGTCCAGAACCTCCTTTTTTTTTTCCCCCAACACATCGAGGCAGTTCTTATACCTAAGTTTAGATATCGGTGGCGTCAACAGAAACCTTTGACCATCTTGTTGAGTCTCTACAGCCAGGGTACTGGGAACATCTTGTCCATGTATGACACGTCAGCTCTTTGACCGTGTCCTTGCTAAAACAAAGGTGGTCATAGACATAACAAACACTTTGTTCAATCTCTACAGCTATGACGCTGGAAACATCTAATCCAAGAGGGAGACATCAGTTCTTATGTCAGGCCCTTTGTGATCGAAGCACATGCAACTAATAAACAAACGAAGGTTATACAAACGAAGCATTTAAAAGGGTCACATATCATTTTCCAATTACAATAATTACAGTTGTATTTGGTTATTATTCTGCTGCTGGTTCTCAGTCGAGTGGATTCTCCTCAGTATCTGAAGCCACTGAACAGTTTCATCAACCTCGTGTATTAACTCACGTTAGAATTGATCTTTCTGTGGAACTCGTGTCGTTCACACTGACGAATTGTCACGTGATCAATAAACAAAGAACTCGGACATGTTTCCTGCATTAAACAAGACGTTTTTAATTAACATGAATATAAATATAACTTGTGTAAACCCGTCATTTCTGTTCAGTGTTCAGTTCAAGTTATTTATGAGGCAAAAGTAACTTGTTCAAGAGATGTATGTTTCCTTTTTTTCAACAATCACTCATCTTTATTTTTAAGTCTTATTACAAATATTCACAAAACAAATCAAAATGAGCCAAAGTGACTTTAAATAATTCAAACCACTTTTCACACCAAAAGAACATTTGCATCTATATTATTAATTAACTTTGTCCATTGACCTTTTATGCAGTATGAGAGTAACTTGATAAATGTAAGAATATATTAGCATTATGCTTCTGAATAAACCTCTTCAGTTTGTGAAAGAGCCTCAGGAAATATTTCATTGTTCATAGAATATAACTTGTGTAAACTTGTCATTTCTTGTCAGTGTTCAAGTTATTTATAAGGTATAAATGTATGTTTCTTTGTTTACAATCACTTATCTTTATTTGTCATCTTAAACATTTTCACAAAACAAATCATAATGAGCCAAAGTGACAACAAAAAGAACATTTGCATCTATATTATTAATTCACTTTCAGGCACAATAACAACAACACAAAGTGTATTCTGTGAACATGATGGAAAGGTCAGAGGCGTTTATGAGAATATTAAATATTCAACAATATGTTTTCAGAGGCTTCACATCAGATATAATTTGTTTTGCTGATTTACTAAAAGTCAAACTTCAGCTTTGGATATTTAGTGAAAATAAAACAGTCTGGATTCAAAAGGTTGAAATAGATATTCTCCATAAGGCGTCATGGTACAGAAATAAAGAGAAAAACATACAGTATTTATATAAAATATGTACATTTATTCCCTTTAATGAATAAAATCATCACATGAAATCAGAGAATGATTAATTTACTCCGACAGGAGAGATGATCAGAGGAGCAGAGTTTCTAACATCGTTATTATAACAACCAGGACTGAAGAACGGGAAGAGCTTCTCAGTGAAGGAGCAGCCAGTGAAGGAGTAGATGAGAGCTGCAGCTTCGACGTCATAAAAGGAGACCACACCCTCCTCATAGTCCACAAACACCCCCACCTTCTGAGGACCAGACTTCACAGAGAGAACAACTGGAGGATCATCATAAGCAAAGTATTTATTTCCATTCATACATATTATCCAGTAACCATTCTGAGGACTCTGTGAGATGAATCCCTTCCTGTTGACTGACTCTCTGTTCACTCCTAAAAACCACTCAGTCTTTCCTTCAACCTGAACCTCAAAGTAGAATCTGCCTGAAGAGAAACTCTGCTTTGTTAAAACACAGTAATCATTAATAAATCTCTCTGGGTTGTTTGGGAGATTCTTGTTCACAACACCACATTTCACTTGTTTCCCATCGTCAGACAGGATGAGTAGAGGATGAGCTGTTTCAGGATCAAGAGTCAGATCCACTGCAAACATCTGGACCCTCTTCAGCTCAGCAAACCACTTCTTCATCTTCTTACTGAGTGTCTCCTCCAGCTGAGACACAGCTCTCACCACAGTCCCCTCATATGAAGGACAAACACTGACCTCTGTCCAGTCCTTGGTGGGTGGCGGCTGATGGATGTTTGAGGACTGGAGAAGATGGAGGTGGTCTTCAGAGAGAGAGAGCTGCTCCACCTCAGCGCTCCTCTTCATCAGCTCAGAGATTTCCTCTTCCAGCTCTCTGATGAAAGCTTCAGCCTGTTTCTTTGTGGCTTCCTGCTTCTCTTCTATTGTTTTGAGGAGCTCCTTCAAGCCTCTTTCAACAGACTCCATCAGATCAGTGAAGACCTGAACACCTTCTGCTTTCTCTCTGCCTGCATCTTCCTCACTGAGGTCGACCGAGTGTTTGATTTCCTGAATCTTCACTCTTCTCTTCCGGATCATCTGCTGGATTTCAGCCTCTGTCTTCTTCAGCTCGACCTTCTTTTCTTCATATTCTTCTTCCAGAGGAACATACTCATGGTTCTTGTGGTCTAAAATACCCCTTACGATGCAGACACACGTCTGGTCGCTCTTACGAGAACAACTC